TTGATGAGTTAAAGCAATGTAAAAACATATTTTGTCATTACTCTTACTCTCTAAAAAATGCTCTTTGGGGCAATATGGACAAACTCAGCCATTGGGTTAAATGTTTAAATTACATTTTTAACCCAGCATTTGGGTTTTTCATATTTGACCCAAATTTAGGTTAAAGGAGTAGCACTTTTAAAAAATTTTTTACTGTTAATTTCACCCCCATGTCATCCAAGATGTCCACGTCTTTTTTTCTTCAGTCGAAAAGAAATTAAGGTTTTTGATGAAAACATTCCAGGATCTTCTCCATCTTATGGACTTCATTGGGAATCAAACGGTTCAAGGTCCAAATGAGAGTTTCAGTGCAGCTTCAAAGACTAGGACCCTTCGAGTCATGACTTGAAAAAATGAGTTTGAACAGGAGAGTCACAAACGCTCATCACAGAACAGAGCAAGCATTTGTGCTTATAAAAGTTAAACTTTTTTATTTATTTTTTTAAATGACCAATCGTTTCGCTTGATAAGACCCTTATTAATCATCTGGTGTCGTTTAAAGCCCTTTGAAGCTGCACTGAAACTGTCATTTGGACCTTGAACCGTTTGGATCCCATTGAAGTCCATTATATATGTAACGGGACTTTAAGTCTCGCCTAGTAGGGGAATATTTAAATAGTTACCCTGGGAGATTTAGAAGCGAAAGGAACTTAGTCCCCGCTCCAGTTCTTTTAAGTCTCAGTATGCACTAAAGTGTATGTTTTATCTTACACTACTACAAAATGCAACAGGAATACGTGGTGTAGGCTTCAGGTCAGTATGTCAGAGCGGTGACTTCCTGAAGTGCACGAAGTGAAATGGAAGTAAATTGAATTCACGTCCCCACCCACCTAATCCTAATAGTGTAAGCGAGACGCCCCTACCCCAAGATAAGTTCAGAAATAACTGTCAAATATTTTAGTTTGAACAACTAATAATTTATTTTCCTTCCCTCAATAGGTTACGTATTTGCTGAAAGAGACAGCTCAAACAAATAAAATGACAATCAAAATAAAATAAATAAAATAACAGTTCTAGTGTTCTTGTTTTCTTGAATGATCTTCAACTGACTAATATATTCAGAACAACACCTTTAAACACCTTCAAAGTGTTTACCCAACCTTATTATCTGGATAAGGATATTCTCATTAAACACAGAAAAACTTATTCACAACCCTGAGTACGAATAACTTTTGTGATTCAATTCAAATAACTCATTCAATCAAATGATTCACTTCAAATGACCCATTTCACATGCATAGTTAACCTTGAAATCACTAAACGACTCTTTTGAATCAATCTTATGATTCAGCTTTCAATCAACTCAGCAATCACAGTTCAAACTTACAATCGAAACAATCAGTTTGTTCAAACATTCAGTTCAGTCCATTCTGATTCAGTAAAATGTTCATATGTTCATGTGTACGTGTGTGTACTGAAATGTTGTACCAGTCTGTGGCAACGACGGCTTCGAAGCAATGACTTTGAAGACTTTTAGGAGATTCGTGAAGGCTTGTGATGATGACCTGTGATGATTCAATGAACAGTTGAGACAGAACAGCGAGATGTCGTCAGGATGGCAGGGTAATGAGCAAAAAAATAAAAATCACAAGAAAAGTTTCAGTGTGGGCCCCAAAAAATCTTCCTAAGACAAAATGACTCAGTTCAGCTCTCACACGGCTCGCGTACACGGAATGATCTGGATCACAAAAAAAATGTCTCTCAAAAATACACACTGTTCTGGAACGATTTTCAGCCCCTTTATAGACAAAACTAAAACGATTCACTCCAAAAACTACTCTTGCAGTCTGCACACGCGATCTTGTTCACTAACGAGTGCACTTAAACGGATTGCAGGCAGAAAACTCTCGCTCCGCACGGTTCACGTCACTTCAGAAAAAAAACTAAAAAAACAGTAGGCTCTTGAAAATATGTTCGGTTAAAGCAACGACGACACCCGGCAGTGTTATGAATGAACTCACGACTCCAGGCAGCAATCTTCCTCGTGCACTCAGCCAAGCTTCCAACACTGTTCTCCGTCCGAAGATATAACCGACCGAACTTCAGCTCTAACTGCGGTTCTCGTGTCACACGACGATATAGGTATACTCTAAACTCATAAAAACTCAATCTGACAGTTTTACTTCTCGTTTTCAGCGAAACTCTCGAATTCTCCTGCTCACCCTTCTCCTTCCCAGACGTCTCTGCATCTCGCGCGAGCACACCGGAAAAAGGAAAAACCCCGTCAAAATAAAAGTCCCTTTAGAAAAGTACCTCCGTTACATTCCCCCCTGCTAAACCCTGCCATACCATCGACATCTCCAGACAGCCTGTCCCTGAAATATAAACAGAAAACAATTTAAAGGTGCAACATTGTACAAAATACATTCTTTTCAATCACAGTCTCATACATATTCCTCATCACATAAAATAATCATTTCTATACCTCAGAGGTAATTTACCACGGTTTTGTCTTTGAGAGCATCTGAGCTTTGGAACATTTTCACATTCAACATCTGAAATGTCAGCATCATCAGAAACTTCTTGTACTTCACACTCTACTTCAGGGACCACATCTACTACATTCTCCTGTTCTTGCATTACACACCCACTTTGTTCTACATCATTGGTTTCCATCTGTACCACCCTTTTATCTCTACTATGTGCAGTGGCTGGAAAACACACAAGATCTGGGAATTCAGTTTCAGAGTCTGACTGGTTTACGGGTCTACTTGTGATTCTACGTGGCGTACTAGATGGCGACAAAGGAAATGTGCAGTGACGGAGCTGATCCCTGTGTACTACTCTGGACTGACCCCCCTTTTCAGGTTTAATAGTAAATACAGGTGTGTCAGGGTGATTCTGTTTTACTACAATGTAAGGCGCATGTTCCCACTTGTCTTGAATCTTATTTCTGCCCCTATGTTTGTGGTTACGTAGCAGCACACGATCACCAGGCCTTACAAGCGCTCCAGAGGACTTGCGGTCGTACATTCTTTTCCGTCTCTTAGAGGCTTCCTGTGCGGCAGTATTTGCGACTTCTACTGCAGTCTTTAATCGACGATGATGACCCTTCACCCAATCATCCAGGTTTTCCACCTCACTTTCATCCAAATCCTTGCCACCCAAGACATCTAATGGAAGGCGTGCATCCCTCCCGAACATCAGGTAGAAAGGAGAATAACCAGTAGATGAGTGGACATGATTGTTGTATGCCATCACTAACTCAGGTAAGTGGGTTTTCCAATCTTTCTTTTTTTCAGGTGTCAACGTTCTCAGCATATCATGCATGGTGCGGTTGAATCTCTCGCACTGAGAGTTTCCTTGGGGATGGTAAGGACTTGTACGACTTTTTCCAATAGCATATACTCTACAAAGTTCCTTAATCACTTGTGCCTCGAAACACCTTCCCTGATCCGAATGCAGACGAGCTGGGCACCCATAGTAAACAAACCAATGCTTGATAAGGGCCTTCGCAGTGGTACTTGCTGTTTGGTTCTTGGTTGGGACAGCAACTGTAAACCGGGTAAACATATCAGTAAGCACCAGTACATTTTCATATCCTCCTGAGGACATTTCCAGCTGGGTGTAGTCCATTGCCAGCACTTCTAAAGGAGCAGTGACATTGCTACAAGTCATCGGAGCTCTGATTCTCGGAAAGACATCCTTTGCCAAAGTACACCTCTTACACTGTGATATCCATCCTTGAACATCCTTAGACATGTTCGGCCAGTAATAGCTTCGTCTCATCAGTGTCAAAGTACTCTTTTCCCCAAAATGACCTCCATGCTCATGTTGACTGTCATAAACTGAACGCTGTAAGGGGGCCGGAACAACCAGCTGCTTAATTTTCTCTCCATCCCTTGGATCAAGAAGACATCTAAACATCACTCCATGATGCAGTTGAAGACGTTCAAACTCTCTGCAAAGCTTTTTCGACTCTGGTGGCATACTCTGCCGTCCTGCCCCACTTGGTTTTCTGGCTTTGGACACGGCATTGTATATGGGTCCCATCAAGGCATCACTTCTTTGCAGCTCCCTTATTTCATCCCAGCTGTAACCATTCAGCACTTTCCTGATGGACGCTTGTACAGTTACTCGAACGTCAGTCTCGCCCTGCTTGGACTCTTGTGCAGGCCACATGCATGCACGCACTTCTTCAGAGTTCAACTTGATGAAATCCTTCTCCGTGTCCTCTTGTTCAGGAACTTCACTGGAGGGAATCCTTGATAAAACATCAGCGTTGGTGTTCAGTCGTCCTGGCTTATACATGACCTCGAAATTAAGCTCTGCTAACTGGGCCACCCAGCGTTGTTCAACTGCACCGAGATTTGCGGTCTCCAGATAACGCAGTGGATTATGGTCAGTGATCACAGTGAAGCAGGAGAACATCAGATACTCTTTAAATTTTTCCGTTGCAGCCCACTTAAGGGCCAACAGCTCCAGTTTAAACGCACTGTAGTACTTGTCGTTTTTCTCTGACCCTCTCAAGCCTCTGCTAGCAAATGCAATGACACGCTCTGCTCCCCCTTGCTTTTGGCTCAATACAGCTCCGAGGCCCTGTTGACTTCCATCGGTAGTGAGGATAAATGGAAGGCCAAAGTCGGGGTAAGCAAGGACCGGTGGTGACATCAAGCATTGTCTCAATTTGTCAAATGCAGTCTGGCATTCACTACTCCACGTGAACAGTTCGGAGGCTCTCCTTTTGTCTTTGCTGCCCATTAATGCATGCAACGGTTTTGCTATTTGAGCAAACTGTGGTACGAACCGCCGGTAATAACTCATGAATCCAATCAATTGTCTCACTTCCTTCACACTCTTAGGCACAGGCCAAGCATCCAAGGCACTAACCTTTTCACTGTCAACTTTGATTCCTTCGGAGGAGATCACATGGCCCAAGAATTTTACCTCAGATCTGAAGAGGAAACATTTGCTTGGCTTCAACTTTAGGCCATGACGCTTCAGTCGATCAAAGACCAGCTCTAGTCTCTCACAGTGACCCTGGAAGTCCTTGGAAAAACGATTATATCATCAAGATATATCAAGAGTACATCAAAAGACAAGTCCCCGAGCACTACTCCCATAAGGCGCTGGAAGGTGGCCGGTGCGTTGCACAGCCCGAATGGCATCCGCGTCCACTCGAACAGTCCAAACGGGGTAGTGACTGCTGTCTTTTCACGATCACGCTCATTTACAGCTACCTGGAAATAGCCGGCTGTAAGATCTAAAGTGGAGAACAGCTGAGCATTCCCCAGTGCGTCCAGAGATTCTTCCACTCTGGGAAGTGGATATGCGTCTTTGCATGTGACTTGATTAAGCCTTCTATAATCACAACAGAAGCGCACACTGCCGTCTTTCTTCACAACTATCACTGCTGGGGATGCCCAGGGACTCGCACTCTCCTTAAGGATGCCTTGTGACACTAGATCCTGCACGTGTTTCTTGAATTCTTGAAAGACATGTGGCGGTACTCTACGGTGTCGCTGTTTCACTGGCAGAGCAGCACCAGTGTGAATGTCATGCGTTACGGACTGTGTGTAACCATAGTCACTGTCATTTTTGGAGAATATGTCTCTGTACTTTGCCAACAACTGGTTAAGTTCCTCTCTTTGTGCAGGGGTGAGCTTTTCATAATTCACCTGAACTGGTACTGGAGGGATGTCAGAGATTTCAACTGCTTGAACATGCGTCACTCGTTTAACATGAAGCGTCCCTTCCTCCTCCTCAAACTCCAGCGTATTCTCAGTTAACACCTCCTGTGGTTTAGACACTACTGCCACTCTGCATCTTGGGTTAAGTCTGATTGTCCGCTCGCTTGAATTCATCACACGTACAGAAACTTTACCACCCTCAGTTTTTGTTAGCACATTGGCCACTAGGAGCCCCTTGGGTAGACTCACACTAGTGGTGGGCTCAATTAATACTTGGCACTTCACTTTAGGTGGCACTCTGCAACGACCTTCGAACACCTTTTCACTCAGAGGAGGGATGGTGATAGCCTGTTTTCCACCAACTTTGACGAACCCAATCTTGCCATCAGGACCCAGGGTTTCAGTTTTCTCGACACTGGCTAACACCCTTCGTATCTTTGCTTCTGCGGGTTGTCCATATTTATTGGCTGACTTCACCTTCTCTCCTGTGACGAACACTGACTTGAACTCCCTGATTATGTTCATTCCAATGATTCCTGAGAGCCCCTTTATCTCCTCTGCTTGTGGGCTCGTGTCTGTCAGCACAAAGATACACTTCCCAGGGAGAACCTTCCCCATGCACTCCACATCAGCTTGCAAACATCCTAGCACAGGTATGTCGAGTCCATTCGCTGCGGTGAGTCTAACCCAGTGAGCAGATGTCAACCTCAGCTCTTGTTCTCCGAAGTGTTTCCTAAAGTGTGACTCTGTAATAGTGGACACTTCTGAGCCTGTATCCAGTAAGCAGCTTGTCTTGACACCAGCTATTCTAACTTCAACAGTCAGGCAATCTCCAAATGCGCCACTTTTCAACGTCTCCGTCACTTCGTCAGTCCATTCAGCTGTATGACTTCTTATCATTGATGGGCCAGGGCTGGTTTGTGCTGTACTTGTTGGAATGTTTCCAGTGTTAGTTCCAGGCACCCCCGTAGAATGTCGGGCCCGATCAGTCACTGTAGCTGCATCAGTACCTTGTGGACATCGCCTGCTAGTGTGCCCCGGTTCACCACATGAATAACAGATGTATCTGCCATCACTGTCCTTCAGGGGTTGTCTTTTTGGACGGCTCTGTTGAAATTGTAGCCTGCTATTACCATGCACTGCTTGGTAAAGTTCATCTTGACGGGCGGCGATCTTTTGTATAGCTTCATGCAGTTTCTCCAGTGTTAACGTAGAGGAAGCTTGTTCTGCATCAGCACTTACTGCTCTGACACGGGGGCTGGGTTTAGGAATGTCCGGTGTTTGAGTCTCTTCTTCTTCAGCCCAAGTGATTGCGGCTTGCATCACCTGAACAAAAGTCAACCTTTCATCCTCCTTAACTCGCCTTTTCATTTCACGCCTCAGAAAATCATCTCGAAGGCCCAGGACAAGTTGTTCCTTTAACACACTTTCGGCCTCTGGAACTCTGTTTGGCTCTCTGCGCTGAACTCGGCTGAGTCTCTCTTGTAGGTCGTATGCGTATGAGCGTATCGTCTCACCTGGCATTTGCTTTCGTTCGTAAAAATCTTTCAGTCTGGTCCCAATTGGCACTTTGTCTCCATAGGTGTCTAGCAGTACTTTAAAGATATCGTCAGTAGATTTTTCACCATCACCCAACATGAACCTCACAGTCGCTTTGGCTTCATCTTTGAGATGCTGTTTCGCCAACTCTACACGATCTTCTGCGGGTACTCTCATCACTTGGAAGGCAGATTTCATTGATGCAACCCATTCCTCCACACTTAATTCCCCGGTTTTGGTCGAACGGCCACTGAACTCGGGAAGTTTCCGGTCCCTGGGAATATAAATGGCAGCTGGGGGTGCTTGAGCGGTGGCTTGATGCTCGATGACAGCTCTCGCTAGTGACAGGGCCTCTCTTTGTTCAGTTCTGGCTTGGTCGAGCGCTCCCGCCTGCTCGGCAAACCGCCTCTGCATCTCCGCCATCTCCTTTTTCAGTTCCTCAAACTCTGCCATTCTTCAGCTTGTAGGCCTGGGACTAGTGACACACACAAAAAAAGGTAAATACAGTCTAATTCTATCCTGTTCGTGACGCCAAATGTAACGGGACTTTAAGTCTCGCCTAGTAGGGGAATATTTAAATAGTTACCCTGGGAGATTTAGAAGCGAAAGGAACTTAGTCCCCGCTCCAGTTCTTTTAAGTCTCAGTATGCACTAAAGTGTATGTTTTATCTTACACTACTACAAAATGCAACAGGAATACGTGGTGTAGGCTTCAGGTCAGTATGTCAGAGCGGTGGCTTCCTGAAGTGCACGAAGTGAAATGGAAGTAAATTGAATTCACGTCCCCACCCACCTAATCCTAATAGTGCAAGCGAGACGCCCCTACCCCAAGATAAGTTCAGAAATAACTGTCAAATATTTTAGTTTGAACAACTAATAATTTATTTTCCTTCCCTCAATAGGTTACGTATTTGCTGAAAGAGACAGCTCAAACAAATAAAATGACAATCAAAATAAAATAAATAAAATAACAGTTCTAGTGTTCTTGTTTTCTTGAATGATCTTCAACTGACTAATATATTCAGAACAACACCTTTAAACACCTTCAAAGTGTTTACCCAACCTTATTATCTGGATAAGGATATTCTCATTAAACACAGAAAAACTTATTCACAACCCTGAGTACGAATAACTTTTGTGATTCAATTCAAATAACTCATTCAATCAAATGATTCACTTCAAATGACCCATTTCACATGCATAGTTAACCTTGAAATCACTAAACGACTCTTTTGAATCAATCTTATGATTCAGCTTTCAATCAACTCAGCAATCACAGTTCAAACTTACAATTGAAACAATCAGTTTGTTCAAACATTCAGTTCAGTCCATTCTGATTCAGTAAAATGTTCATATGTTCATGTGTACGTGTGTGTACTGAAATGTTGTACCAGTCTGTGGCAACGACGGCTTCGAAGCAATGACTTTGAAGACTTTTAGGAGATTCGTGAAGGCTTGTGATGATGACCTGTGATGATTCAATGAACAGTTGAGACAGAACAGCGAGATGTCGTCAGGATGGCAGGGTAATGAGCAAAAAAAAATAAATAAAAATCACGAGAAAAGTTTCAGTGTGGGCCCCAAAAAATCTTCCTAAGACAAAATGACTCAGTTCAGCTCTCACACGGCTCGCGTACACGGAATGATCTGGATCACAAAAAAAATGTCTCTCAAAAATACACACTGTTCTGGAACGATTTTCAGCCCCTTTATAGACAAAACTAAAACGATTCACTCCAAAAACTACTCTTGCAGTCTGCACACGCGATCTTGTTCACTAACGAGTGCACTTAAACGGATTGCAGGCAGAAAACTCTCGCTCCGCACGGTTCACGTCACTTCAGAAAAAAAACTAAAAAAACAGTAGGCTCTTGAAAATATGTTCGGTTAAAGCAACGACGACACCCGGCAGTGTTATGAATGAACTCACGACTCCAGGCAGCAATCTTCCTCGTGCACTCAGCCAAGCTTCCAACACTGTTCTCCGTCCGAAGATATAACCGACCGAACTTCAGCTCTAACTGCGGTTCTCGTGTCACACGACGATATAGGTATACTCTAAACTCATAAAAACTCAATCTGACAGTTTTACTTCTCGTTTTCAGCGAAACTCTCGAATTCTCCTGCTCACCCTTCTCCTTCCCAGACGTCTCTGCATCTCGCGCGAGCACACCGGAAAAAGGAAAAACCCCGTCAAAATAAAAGTCCCTTTAGAAAAGTACCTCCGTTACATATATTTCTCTATAGAGAAAATCCTGGAATGTTTTCATCAAAAACCTTAATTTCTTTTCGACTGAAGAAAGAAAGACATGGACATCTTGGATGACATCGGGGTGAGTAAATTATCAGCAAAAGTTTTTTTTTTAAAAGTGAACTACTCCTATAAAACAACCCAGATTGATAATTTTTTTACAGTGTATATATAGGCCTATACTAAATATTGACAAATAGACCTATATCTAAATGAGAACAAAAAAACATTCATAGAAAATGAAGAAAATTGATGGAACGGATAAGTGCACACAAAAATAAGTTTGTATGCTGCCTATGTCTGTCCTCCACAGTGTCTATAAGGGTCAGGGTAGGGTCACCTGATGATGTAATGAGGCTGCCCATTTGTGACTGGCAGCTGCGGTAATTTTACTTGTCAACTCAGAAAATTAGGTACAAAACAAACAAGGCTTTTAAAACGAACTTGTCACTCTTGGTTCCCTTGACACAGGGTCACTGTGCTTAGACTCCACTAGAAGATTTTAAATTGCAGAGACTAAAAAATATATATATACAAAAATAAAACACAGCAAAGTTAATAGTATCTACTACACTGTAAAAAAATATTTTCATGATTTGTAATCAGTAATCACAACATTTTGTCTTTTGTCAAATCAACTTAAATAATTTATGTAGCTCAGATAACATAATATTTTGAGTTTCTGATGCTTAAATCAATCTCCTTCATTGTATTAACTCATTTTTTTTCAGTTCAATGAACCTAAAATTTTAAGGCAACCAGGTTACCAACAGTAAAACCAACAATATATTTTTTTTGGTTCACTAATTGAGTTGGTCAATCCTTGACAGTATCAAAACAGAAATAAACCAATTGGAGTGGTCTCATTCTTAACATTTTCAAACACGTTAGTGCTGAATTATGACCTTAAATGAAATTTTGAAGAATTTTAAAGAAAAATCTACAAAAAAGCCAGCCTCTATTATTACACAATGACAGCAAGAAAAAGAGAATGTTATTAAGAGATGAATCAGGAGGGTCATTATGTGGATCATGCTTACCTTTACAAGACTGAAGGAAAGAAAAACTCATTTAAGTGTTCCTACATTAATCACAGCCTGCACATCAAACTGCGATAATCACCTGAACACTCCATTAAAATAAAACTGCCAGCCCTAGGGAAATCTCACCTTACTCTTTAATTGTTTTGAGGCTTTGATCGGCTTTTTAATCCAAGATTAATTTATGCATTTTTAAATAACTCTACATATGATTAATAAGCTTGAAAATTAAAAGGAGTCTGAAGCAATTATAACAAGTGGTTGGTCATCACCTCATTAGATGGTGTTGGGAGAGAAAAGCGTGTGTTTGTGTGTGTGTGTGTGCGTGTCTGAAAGAGAAAAGCACGTAGATTTACAATAGACTGTCTGTACTCATATATTACAGACCGGAAGAATAGCAATGCAGCTGTTTATGTGCATTGCATAATGCATTACCGGCCTGTATGAATTACGATATGACATGCACTCGACGGAAGGCACAAGCGCTGCTAAGTGGGGGAATAGAAGAGAGAGTAGATTGGCAGAATGAGAGTGGTAGCTAAAAGGGTCAGTATAATAATGGGGACTTTACAGATTTACATACTAATAGTTTTATTCCCAAGAAAGTAAAACACAGCTCAGAGCTCCCAGACTGCCGGCCACGGACAATTTCAGTTCCACAGCACTAGGCTCGATTATTTTGGGAATAATGTCTCTTTTTTTAACTAATTGTGCTGTGGAGTAACTTCTCCAAGTGTAGATTTACACCAGCCCTTCAAAAGCCACACAGTATGTCAAGGTCAAACAGGAGACCAAAGCAGCTTCGACCATGTGTGTATGTGTGTATGAGTGTCAAGCTTGAAAGAAACAGCAGCAGACAGGGATGTTAGGGAAATCTCTGGAGTGTGATGGAGAGAGAGAGAATTGTGAGAGTAAAAGCAGGGGTTTCTTCAACCTGCTAATGTGTAAACAAGACATCACTCCACTCCTTGCCTGATGCTCATCTATTCCTTCGAGAAACCTCTCAAACACACACCACATATCTGCTGCTTGCTATAAAGCATGTCGCTTTATCTTGCTGTGGGAGGGCCGAGTGTTTGTAAAATGTGTTTGTAGCATGCATTTATCTCGCCGATTTTTGAATTGATACCCCGTATAGAAGTGGAAGGCATTATAGAGGTTATCCGCGACGTGCGTATGCGTGTCTGAGTCTGTTCACGACAGCCAAGAGCACAAGAACCCTTTTGTCACAAACGGGCCTCATCTGTCACAGCGGAGACCTGTTCTCAGGAGAGAAGATGGGAACAAAGGTGCTAAAAGGCAGTGTGACAGTGAGGGCATCCTGAGGAAAGGGGAACCCTTTCACACACAACCACAGCTGTCAATCATTCTTCAAATCACAAACATGCGCACAGCACGCTCTCGCCAGAGTCCAGCCTGGATTGACTGACGAAGCTTACAAAAAGAAGCGTTTTACAACAGCTACAAAGAGGGGTTTCACAGCAATGCCATAGACAGAAGAACCATTTTGGGTTCTCCAACGAACCTTTTAGTGAACACAGTTCTTGATTATTTGTCTTTCATCAAAATAACTTCCCCTCCCTCTTGCAGCAACATGTCTTTTCTTCTCTGATGATGTGTTAACTGACAACCTGTCACTCATATGACATCACAGCAATCATCAATCACTGCAAAATCAAGTCCCACCCTACATTTCTTCTTGTTTGAGAAGCAGTTTCACTCGAATACGTCACACTAGGGAATAAAAGTCGATCGCAACTTCCATTTCATGTCAACTTTAAAATCTTTTTTTTTATTAGTCCAAGAAACAATTTAAAGGGATGATGAACTGAGAAATCAAATTTTCCTTGAGCTTTTGACATCTAAGAGGTTATCATATTATAAGAATATCCTGTAAGTTTCAGAACTGAAAACGTCCTTGTTAGTCCAATAAAAGCTTTTATTGACACCAGGCTCTGCAAAAGACTCGTTTTTCAAAGTGGGGAACTATGACGTCAAAGAGGATAAAACACCACCCCTGCAGAAGAAGATCAACGCCTACTTCAACACGGCCGGCTTAACCCCCGCCCACCGATTCGCGCATTACACGCATAGCTAAATAACATAAATGCCTACCTCGTGATGTCAAACCGGATCGAGCTCCCGAGGAATACAGAATATTGTGCAGTGCCTGGTTGTGGAAGAAGACAGTCGCTGCATGAGCTTCCTCTGGATTCTAACAGGACTGCATGGATAAATTTTATTTTTAATGACGTTCCAGCTGATGAGCTAAAACATTGTCCGTCTGTTCGCTTCATTTCACTGAGGATTGTTTTGTAAACAAGACTGGATTTGCAGACCGATTAAGAGTAAAGAATGGTGGCGTGCCGTCTATATTGGATCTGACAGGAATTGTGCAACACACGGACTCTGGGTCGAACATGTATGGGTGAATCATTCCGGTTGCCATTTTACAACATTGGACGTTTTCACAACACCGATGGGTGAGTTGAAACTCATTATAATATGCAAAACTGTTATCCACTCACAGCAGTGGGCGTTTACTTCCAAGTCTTCAGTGCGAGACGCCCATAAAAACCGAGCGTTTTTCAGGTAGGCTCAAAACTTGGGTAGAAAATAGCCTGTTACTTATTCATTTTGATGTTTTTGAATGCAAAAACCAAGCGAACGTCATAAGTTGACCTCAGACAACAATATAATAAAATTTAAAAAGCCAGTTCATGACCCCTTTAATAATGTGAAGAGCCTTTGAAAGGAACTCCATGGATGTTAAAGATTCTTCAACCTTAGTTTTTCTGGAGTGGAGTGTAGAAGTTAAAGAGGAAAGAAAGTACCGCCTGACCTTATCTCGACCGATTTTTGCAGGCCGCAGAAAATGCTTATTACCTCCGAAAAAAGAGCATCACCTCAAAAAGGCAGTTCAATCACCTCAGCGTGTTAGCCAATAGTGCCAATCACAGAACGAGCCTCAGCCTGTGATAATGGGAATTATAGTAATGAAATCCGGCGCCTGGGCCCGTGCACCACCTGAGGCGCTGGTATACTATAGCGGGGCATTAACATAAAGATGCGACTTGCTTGTTTTGCAAGGTCTATCAGAGGGATAGTCCACAGAGATAATAACTATTAGTAAAAGGACAGTGCTTTGCTGGATTCCAGCTGTGGAGGCTACATTTCCATACAGATGGAAAGGCTCTAGGGGGGTTATATGTATGCAGAAAGGAGCAACTGTGTGGGGTGATGCCATCGGCTATCTTCTCCGAGAGCCTTGATCTGATCTCCATCCTCATCATCTTTCTCTGTAGGAGTAGCAGTGAATTAACTCCTGCTATTAGAATAGCAAAAGTTCTGCCGAAAGAGGTGGGATTGAAGATATTTGGGGGCTCTTTGGGGCCAATGTCCGAAGTGCTGAAATCAATACACTCTAAAAATTGCTGGGTTGTTTTAACCCAACTTTGGGTCAAATATGGACAAACCCAGCCATTGGGATACATTTTTAATTACATTTTTAACCCAACATTTGGGTTTGCCCATATTTGACCCAAAGTTGGGTTGAAACAACCCAGCGTTTTTAGAGTGTACTCTCAGAGGTACCAAATGCAAACAGCTTGAGCGATCTAGGTGTGACCATGTGCTTGACATCTCTAACAGGTTGGAAATGTGAGAAGCAAATTTCAGTGGCAAATAACTTGCGTTAAAGGGAAAGTTCACCCATTAAAATACAGCCGTCATTTAGCCTACTCACCTTCATGTAATTCCAAACTTGGATGACCTTCTTGTCTTTCCTCTGAGG